ACCAAAATTATAAAATATTCTACCACACTAACAAAGTTAAAGTAAAAAAAATTTAAAAGAAAATTATTCCAACCATAAGTTCTGAAAAGTCATAGTGATATCCATCTTCCGGAGAGACAAATTATCAAAATAAAATCAGTTCCCAAATTCTCACTTGTATAAATATTCTTGGCTAGCATTCATAACTTGCAAAATCTGCATCCAAAAGATAAACATAATTGGTTCACCACACTACCACAAATTATATAAAAGTAACAGCCGTAAGTCTTTAGACTATATCAAACAATAGCTTAACAAATCAATAACAACCAACGACACCAATCAACAACGATCAAAACCATGCCCATTATCAATATCAGGATCCCCTAACCTCAACGATGTAAATCAAATGTAATTGTGAAAAATGACAATCAACTAATTAATTTCAAGCAATATTTTGAAAGAATCAGAAAGAGCCCATTCGGTAATAAATGATGGGGAGATATCTTGTTGAAGCTTCACAAGAAAATAAAAATAAAAATAAAATTTTTTAAAAAAGCACAAGTTTCGTCATGTCATGATTTTGACTATATAGCACATTTTGTCTAGATTTAAACAATGGAATTTAGGTCCGCAATATTCATTCCTTGGTTAATTGTAAGACAAGTTTTGCATGCTATTCTAAAATAAAGCTGGAGGTAATGTGATATATATGATTAGCTCCTAGTGAGTACCTGAGTAAGAGAGGTATCTTGTATCGATGACAAGGACCATACTTGATGTCAAACTACCAAGTCAAGAGGACAGAAAGTTGTTGTAACCTAACCAAATTTGAACTAATTAATTTTACAAGCACACACACATAGATATATGTATGTATATATATGTGTAGGAAAACATTAATGACTTCCAAATTCTATTAAAAAAATTACCTGGTTAAATGTGTTTGTCAAGTTATTCGGAGCATGCTCAACATGCGAACCTTTGGACCTTAGCTCCGAAGTTTCAGCTTCCATAGCATAAATCTGTGGCACCTGGTTCCATAAAGACCACAAGCCTGCCAACAACAAAGCTTTCAGGCTTTTTTCTCCAGGTTCTTGAATTTGTAACCAGACCACCACTCTATCAATCCACTGAGAGATCCTGGTATCACCCACTTAATTCGCCACCAATCCATAACTTAGACCACATTCTTATAATGGCTACCAAATTATTAACGTAGAACTTTCTAAAGCGATTTTCATTATTACTAAGGGGGCTTCAAAGATGAGCTTTGTTCAAATGCAATAAACAGGGCTTGTAGTTATAGCTCAAAACAAAATATTTAAACAAAACAATATCATGAAACACTATGAATTAATGCTCATGGCTGTTCAATCTCAGTAGCCCCTACTACAACGAAGCACTTTTAAACAACAAATAGGAAGAAACAATACAAGAGGATTGAAATAATAAATAAATATTACCAATCACACAAATAAAATTATATTATATTATAAGTGGGGTAGGAAAGCGAAAATCAGCAAATGAGATTACACAGATTAAACACCATTAAAAATAAAAATAAAAAAGTCGCCTTGGCAACTTCTAAAAAAACTGTTTGTGCATATTTTTGTGTGTGTGTGTATGTGAGAGAGAGAGAGAGAGAGAGAGAGAGAGAGAGAGAGCCCTGACATTACATTCAACAACTTGGTGGCTGCCACTTGTACATTCACCATCTCATCCTGTCATTACAAAAAAAAAAAAAAAATGTGGTTCAACAAAAATAAAAAAAGTGGTTCAACAAAAATAAGTCATAAAATATCAATTTTGTCCCAACAATTTTTCTTGCTCTACCCTCTCTTCTACTTTCCATCACAACCACTTTTCTCATCCCTCTCATCTCTCTCACACTTCAACCATTCCACCAACACATGCCCTTAATATTTTTATTTCCAGCTGTTAAAACTCTTGAACAGTTTGAACAAAAAATGATTTTTCCACAAAACAAAACCTCTTGGACTGTTCTATATATACAGAGTTATATATAATAGAAAACAAGAGAAGTATTTATCCATTAAACACAAATTTATGTAAGCATGGGATTCAAAATTCCCCATATAGACAAATTTATATACCCTAGGACAGTACTGCCAAACATTTTATTCATGATAAACAGAATCAAAATAAACCAAAAACAGAAAGAAAGAGACCAGATGTAATAGAGCGATTAAGAAAATGAGTCAGTTTTGATAAGAGAGGCAGAACATATCTGATATAGTGATTGTACAAAGTAAGACAATAGATTAAGCTTGTGGCGAGTAGTAGCTCCAAAATCTTGTTCCACTTCTCTTTATGGAGCCCAAACACATGAAAGCCTAAAAAAATTCTCCATAACTGAATGACAGTTAAACTAATAATATCATGCTATAATTTTAAATTTCAACCAGCATACAAACAGAACTAAGGAACAAGGGAAAAACCCAAAATAAATAAACAATTTAAAAAAAAAGAAAAATAAAAGTTCTGAATGTATCCAAATTCCAGAGTATAAACTCAAAGAACATATATAATTAAAGTTTGACGCAAAGTTTTATTGAGATCAAACCAATACATATGCAAAGAGCCAATCAATCATCAATGGTGGCAAAGCTATCTAACCTAGCTAGGAGGATAACCAGAGATTCATAATTGTAGCATTTTGTTGAATGATCTTAAAGAAAACTCATTCACATAAACAAATTAACATGCACTTCAAATGAAAAGAAAATCTCAAAATGTTATTCAAGCCCATAAATCAAAAGCCATAAATCATTCTGGAGTCTATCTCAGGACTGTGAGAAAAATGGAAAAACAAAAAACACATGGGAGAGAGTAGTGGAGAAAGAAACACAAAGCGTGCATAAAAGGGGAAATATGATACCAAGTAAGTAGGATGTGTGTTTTTTAAAATGAGTTGCTTACAAAATTATACCTCGAAAATTACCCCAAGAGTGAGGTAGCATTTTTTGTCTTCAATAATGCTACATATGCAGAAAAATTACCCACAATTACACTGGAAATTATATGTCAGTTGACTATACTAATTGTATATAATTTGATGTTTACACAAATCATTTTCATTGGAAATTCACAATGGGCAGCACCAATGGATCAAGATTTACACCAGCTATTACCAGCCTACCATGACAGTGAAATGGGAAACTAGAGTGAATCTGAGAAAATAGGGAAATCTTGAATCTGGCTTAAAAAAAACCCCAATAAATTAAACGTTCCTTCAATCATTTTATTTCAATAGTTCATTGATTTCACATAAATCAAAACCCTACACCACAAAAAAGCAAACCCTAGATCTAGAGTGAAATGGGGAAATAGAAAAAGGGAGACAGGCAGAAAAACAGAGACCGAGAGGGAGAAAGATAGGGAGAGGAAGAGAAAAACCTCAATGTTGAAGCGATGCGATGCGAGACGACCGAGCGGCGGTAGCGATGTGCTACTGTGGAAGATCGACGGTGAGCGATGGTGGAAGATCAACGGTGAGCGCTGGTGGAAGATCGATGATGATCCGTGAGAGAGAGAGGGCGAGCACGAGTCTCTGGTCTTGTTTTTGCTTGGATGTAGAGACTAATATAAACAAATATAAAAAAAAAATAATAAAAAAAAAGAAAAATTTACCCATAACGCCTAGTTTCTGAGAAATTGAACTATTTAGTCATAAAAGTTTTATTATGCTCCATTTAGTCTTATTTGTACATCAATCTAATGTTCAAAACATTAATCTGATGTTCGAAATCTAATGTTCGAAACATTAATCTGATGTTTAAAACATTGTAATGGGACCTTTCAGTCTATAAGAAAACTTTTAGGACTAAACAGTGTATAAGTTATTAATTTGGGATTTATTGATACATTCCAAAAAAAAAAACATTAGTGAATTGCCTCCATATTTGAAAAAGTTTCCACCAAAAAAATTGATATCATTGCTTACCAATCTCAATTTTCGTCACCTATTATATCACTTTTGGTGACAAAAGGTATTTTGATCACTGAAAATAAATATTTACCGACCAATTTTTTAGTCACCAAAAGATAAAAAGTAAAATTAATGTTTTTTATTTAGTGAATAAATTAATTTTATAGGCAAATATTACTATACAACGACTAAAAGTATTTTAGTTGCCGAAAATAAATATTTGCCGACCAAATCTTTGGTCACTAAAGATTAATAGAAAACCGTATGCTAATCATACTAAATTTATTTTAGTAGGCTAAAACTGGTATACCACGACTAAAACAAACTTTAGTAGCCTAAAACATGAACTAACGCCAACCAAAAAAAAATTTAGTTGCCTATTGTGACATATTTAGCGACTAAATTTTTTTTTAGTCGCCAATTAATAATATAGTGTGACTAAAAAAATTTAGTAGCTAAAACCTGAAACAATGCCGACCAATTTAGTTTTAGTCGCTTATTGTACAACTTTTGGCGACTAAATTCCTTTTATGTCATTTTAGTTTTTGTAATTTTGATTGAATCGATTTTAACCTTGAATTTTTTATTTCGTCTCAAATTAGTCCAATTGATAGCATTTTTTTTTTTATATTACAAATGCAACCTGTCATCGTTTTAGGACTTAACCTTAACAAAATACTTGGTCAATTAAGTGACTTCACCTTAACCAATCCAATGAAAATTTTCTATGAAAGACCATAAAGATGTTATTAATTCGACTAAATTGACGTAAAATTTAAAATTAAGTGTCAAAATTGAATCAATTAAAACTATATGGAACAAGAAAATGTAAGTATTATTGATGTAATTTACTCAACAATTATAAGCAATTGAAATAAATTGAGATAAATCCGTAAATTCAGAGTCAAAATCGAGTTAATTGAAACTACAGGGACTAAAATTCAAGAAACTTTATCATTGTACAAGAGAGAAATTTGAAATTTAATTTTTCCTATTAAGTCATATAAAGTCGTTGATCAATTTTATACATGTGGCAAGCACAGTTAAAAAAACATGTTATATTGAGTTTGATTTATTTGTTTTTATTTATTTTGTGCATTTTAAAAATTTTGTAAATATATTGTCATTTTTTGTTTTTTCAAAAAATGCCATTAGATAGTTTGGAAAGTTTTTGGCTTAGTAGCATTTCTCAAATGCTATAAAATATTTGTTTAAGACACTTTTCACTTAATGCCATAAAAAGTAACTTGCACCTATCTAGTTTAGTGACATTTTTTTATAAAATGCCATTGCTACTAAAGTTTAGTGGCATTTGTTGATAAATGTCACTAAAACAATTTCTTGTGTCATTCTTTTATAAAATGTCATAAAAATTGATGCGACATTTCTTTATTGAAATGCCACTAGTGCCTTATATATTTGTGGTTCTGTGGCATTTTTCTAAAATGGGTCATCAAATATTATTTTTGTGACATTTTCTAAAAACATGCCACTATACCACTAGTGTAGTGCCACTAAAGTATGTTTTTTGTTGTAGTGTTGTGACACTTGTTTATTGAAATGTCACTAAAGCCTTTTATGTTTTTCGTTTTGTGACATTTTCAAAAACGTGCCACTAAATATTATTTTTATGGCATTTTCTAAAAAGATACCACTAGTATAGTGTCACAAAAGTGTGTTTTTGTTGTAGTGGCTGTACTTAGCAAATGATTGGGCGTCCATGTTGGTGTCAATATAATTGGGATGGTTATACTTGCATTGATGTTATTTTGTACTCACCTTTCTTTGTTAATGTTTATCTTTGTAACTTGTAATTTGATCTTCATTAATAAAATTTCTTTTTCGCAGATAAAAAAAGACAAACAATTATATATACAAAATATAGAGGTTTTTTGTATTTATTTTTTCTTTAATCAGCATCTTAAGACAAAAAGCAGCATCCTCTTTTTTTTCTGTCCATATGTATCTCTCTTCACCTCTATGCTCAAGAACTACCACCATCATCGCCACTCCCGGTCACTGCTACTCTACTATCATTGTCCAACTTTACCCACCACATACCTTTCTACGAGTCATGCCTAATTATTCTCCTTTACAATAATAAAATTACATGGATTCTTACCCTTCCCAATCTTTTTCCTTTCAAACACACATTAATGTGTACCAATTAGACACTATTTTTTTATTAAAAATAATTACTTGACTTGATAATTTATTAATAAAAGATGTCATTTGTTAGAGCATCTCCAATGGTCTGTTAAATGAATTGCTAAAGGCAAAATATAGCAATGTGGAAAAATATAATGCTCCAACGGTTTGTTATTGGAGTTGCTAAAAATAACAATTGTTATATCTTGTGTCAAATTTGGTACAAGTTTTACCTATAGTTAAAGTTGCTAGCACAACACAGAGAGAGAGAAAGAGAGAGAGAGAACAAATATTGGACGATCGCCTAAACAACCAACCGAATGACCACCTAATGTTTGCTAAAGTTGCCAATTTGTATGACCGCCCGAACAATCACTAGGACAATCATGCGAAAGTTAGTTAAGCTAAAAATAACAATTTGACCATTGAAACAACATTGTTATTCTATTGCTATTTTACACTGTTCATTGCTGAATTATAACTTTAGGTATTTATTTTACTTATTTACCATTGGAGATGGTCTTATGCAATTATATAATTGAAAAAACGTGATATAATTTTTAAAATCACATAGAACAATCTGTATTTTAGATAAATTTCAAATAAAAAAATAAAAATATAAGGAGCTAAAAAAGCAGCCCATTTTGGGTATGGCTTTCTTTAAGCTTTTTTTTTTTGTTTTGTTTTTTTTTAAAATATTTTAAGTTCTATATTCAACTCGATAAAATAAATTGAAAAAATCTAATTTTTTAAAAAAATCTAAAATGGGACAAAAATAAACAATATTTTTATAGTTAATTTTATCTTTAATGATTTTTTTAGAAAATATTTTTAAATTCATTTCCGCAAGGCGGACCGAATACCCACCACGACCTCTCAAACTGAAACTGCTCCACTTGCACTAAAATCAGCTCACTTCAGGTGGTTGTTTGGTCTGTCAAACATTTTATTGTTGTTCTTATCTCCTCACAGAAACACTCTCTGCTGACCTCCACACAATGGCACACAATGCTATCACAACCCCCAATTCCTCTTCCTCTTACACGGAGCAGAGATCAGCAGCCAATGCCATCGCCGAAAACAGCGATCTCATCGCACAGATCTTAGTTCGATTGCCTGTAAAACCCCTTACCCAGTTCAAATCTGTGAGCAAACAATGGCTCTCTCTCATCTCCGATTCCCAATTCTCTCTCCACCACTCTCGCCGCAATCGCAAACCCATCTCAGCTCTCTTCCTCCTCAGCCTCAACAAGATCAACCCAGAATTCTCCTTCCTTCCCTTCGCCGATTGCTCTCTTGGGTCACCACATTTCCAGTTCCTTGTCCAGCCAGGTACTTCAATTTTGCATTCTTGTAATGGATTGTTGTGTTTTTCTAAGTTGGATGACACTACGGAAAGTTCAATTCTCAGATACTACGTATGTAATCCCACTACCAAACGATCTGCTAGAATTCCTTTACTGGGTGTGGTTCACAATTGTAGAATTCGTAGAGGGTATTTTAGGGTCGATCACAAACTTTGCAATGTCAAAATTGAAGAATCTACAAGGCCAGGGAATGATTTGAATATAAACTTGTTGGGTATTTATGTAGCTTTTGATCCTCTCAAGTCACAAAACTACAGAGTTGTCTGTGTTTGGGAATCGAATGCTGATATATTTAATTATGAAATAAGAATTGCTGTTTATCGTTCGGAGATAGGTTTATGGGGTGAACTAATGGGAGCTTTTACAATACCTTATGCAGTATGTTTTAACAATGGAGTATTTTGGAATGGAAAAGTGCATTGGATTAGCAATAGTGACATTGTATGTTTTGATATTGATGAAGGATACCTTAAAATTATGCCATTGCCGTTGACTTCTAATGGCTCAAATGTTGTGTATTTTGGAGAGTCGAGTGGCCATTTGCACCATGTTGTAAATTTCAAAGGTAGCGAGGCTCTATTGAATGTATTTGAGATGGAAACGGACTACTCTAGGTGGGTTCTAAAATATTGTTGCGATCTTGACACGGTGATTATACCCCCAGATATGGTTTTGAACCACAAGTCTTGTGCATTTTCTCTGATATTTCTGGGCAGAGGAGAGAAAGTAGATGAGTCTTGTCTTGTGATAGGAATACATGGTAAACTTATTTCTTATAATCTTAAGAATAAGACCTCAAAGAAGCTTATTGATTTGCTGCCATTTTGTTATAAAAATTGTTGGGCACAGCGTGCACGCTACAAAGCTTTGCCATATAATGAGACTCTATTTGAAGTTTAAATATGGTGCTTCTCTGATGTTACCAAATTTTTACACTCAACAGCATATGTGATCTATAATGCTCATGCTTAGATGTGTGCTTTTTGCACTAGTTTACATGGAACCTTAGAGAGTAATGTCATATTTGAGGGGAAGGATAATTACGTTGTCTCTGTAGTGTGTCAAGCACATGACTTGGTGTATATGCTTTTTGGGCTCCTGTATTTGTCAATATCTTTGGGATGCATGGTTCTTGACGACACATATGATGAGTTTGGAATTCATTTGTCATCTTTTGCATGAAATACATTTCTGGAAGTTTGTTATTAGTTTTTGCCAGCATTCAATGTGGCTCAGAATGAATGTATATAATTTGTCTACAACCAAGTTCGTTGCTTACCACTTCGATGAAAGGGAAATGTCTTACCACTGTAACGCTGACAGAATTAGCAGTATGTTCAAACAAATGCTTTTCTCTGATGTTTTGATTTTATGGTATGATTTATCTTCAGTTTCAGACATGACAATTCTCTTCTGCAGTTGTCTATGTTAAGATACCTGCAGTCACGAGACTTTTTCTTTCACATGGATTGGAGGCTTGGAGCTCATGTGTTCTTCAACAATTCTCTTTCTTTCTTGTAATGTAGTGAATAATTTTCCTTTTGTTCTTATTGTAGCAAAAATTTTCTCTTGCAATGAATCTATAAGATCATCTGTTTAGCATTTTAATTTTCATTACTCTTTACTTTATTTTTTAAGTGACTCTGAGCTTCACATCATAGTAAAAGGTAATTAGAGTGGACCATGCATGCACATTGAAATGGAAATAGATGAACACACAAATTAAAGCAGCACTGTTAGAAGAAAATTGGGAGAAATATTGAGAATAATTTCAGTTGATCACCTGAAAATTAAATCTCAAATTATGATACTTGGGCTAGTAAAATTTATGAAATGCTTATTCTTTGGACATCTACTACTAAAAAAAAGCACTCTTTGTGTTGATGGGGTGCTGACACAAATAATCAAATGGCTCCCGTGAAAGACCTTAAGCGACTTATGGCAACTGGGTGGATGCTATTGTGGGAATGGCAAAAAATATTTGTGACGGTGCACTAAATGTGATCGTAACTGTGAACGAGAAAAAATATAATATACAACCTAAATGTGATGAAAATGAGACTATATTTCTCAAACGGGACACAAGTGAGACTATATCTTAATAAAAATAAATAAAAATCTTTTCTGAGATGTGTAATGCCTTAGACTGCCCTACCTAGTTCTAGAATTTCAACATCAGTGTTAATAATATTATTCTCTTTAACAAGAACTTGCAATGTTATTTACAAGTTATTATTGAAGGAAAGCAATCTTAGTTTCAGAATAGTTTTATGTCTCTCTGCAATACAAAATAACTAGAAGTTTTAAAACCATAGTTTGATAGTAGTCATTTTGAATACTTCTCAACCCCATTGACACACTGTTTTACAATGTCTCTGCAATTCAAAGCCAAAAGCCAAGCCTACATTGATTTTTGACAAAGGGCAAAACAGTCCAAAATCATCTGTTTTGACAAAGGGCAAAACAGTCCAAGATCATGGAGCTGAACACAAATATCAGGCATGCAAAATAGCAACATTATCAAACCACGGAGCAAATTAGGCCACTTCAATTTATGGAACCAGTTAAGTGGGGAAGGGGAGGAGGAATAAATATGTTATGCAGCCAGAAAAGCTAAGATTCAAAAACATCTGTGCGCAAGTTGTCTATCAGCTGTGAATGTAGTTTGCTGGTATGCAACTCCTCTCTTCCTTTATGCTATTTCTCTCTCTACACCACTGCGAGTTCATATGTTTTTAGAAAAAAAGTATATGTGATTGTAAAATTTTGAATCTTTTTATATAGGAAGTTAAAAAATAATTTTAGAATTTAAAATACTATACAAAACCATATCCTTTTAAATATAGCTATATTTATAATTAATTTTAATCTATCTATTACCTATCCTTATTTACATTATTATATAAATAAAAATGTTGTATGATAATTGAAATTCAAAATCCTAATCAATTTTTTTTTTTCAAAATATGAAATTGTTAAAATGCATATGTTGCAATATCATTTATTTCTTCCTATTATAAATTTTATTTTAAATCTTTTAAGATTTGTTCAATGACTAATATTCAATTTTTGTAAAAATATTCCAATATATTCCTTCCAAAAGTTAATATAGAAAGTCTACAAAATCATATTTTAAAACTCAAAATTATCAATATTTTTATTTATTTTTATTTTTGCTTTCAATAAGCATGTTAAAGTATAAATAGACTAGTGTGTAAATAAAAATAAGTAAACAAAAAGAAGAAGAAAAATAAATAAATAGGGAGGAAAATATAAAATTAAAAAAAAAAAGAGGAGAAAATAAAAAAAATAAAAAGAAAAGAAGGTAAGATCATGGGATTATTCATGGGATCATGGGGGATCGGTGAGAAAAAAAAAAAGTAAGAGAGAGAAGCATGAAAGTAGGATACATCACAACCGTTATTTTGTAGTTTGAATAGAGTCGTCCAAATGTCCTACTAGGACAAATGTGTGTAGGACAATTTAAAAACTATCATGTCTTATTATATAGATATCCAAATAAAATTATACTTATTAATAACTATGACATTAATTTTAATTGTAATTACATCTTTTTAAAGTTTTTATTCATTTTTAACTTTTTTTTGATATTTTAAATTAAATGTTACAATAATTCTTTTTACTCATTAAGTTTTTAAAATTTCTTTAATTATTTCTCTTTCAAAAACCAATATAACAATTTTTTAAAATTCATATATTTTTCTTCTAAAATAGTGAAGTATTAGAACTACATCCTTTTCTTTTTCTTTTTTTTTTTTTATAACAAAGCATAATTTTAATTGTTTGTTGTCAATACAACAATTTCAATTTATCTATACTATATATTATAGCAAAGGAATATTTAAAACAAAACTCTTAAAATTATATATATATATGTATATAATTTTATTTACTAGAGATAAAATACAAAAATTAAAATAATTATATAAATAATATATTATTTTATTTGGTGGATTGCGCTGGTGACATACCAATCAAAATTAAACTGAAGGCACTACATGATAAAAATGCGCCAGGACCACCAAACTAGTGGATTGATCCTTATCATTAGTTTTTATCAAGAAGATTGATATGAGTCATCAACCAAAAACTCTAGTGTTTGGTTGTCAAATTGTTTTAACATTTCACTTTTCACATTCACAACCACTAGTTACAGTATATCCCACATAAATCTGTGTCCAGCTGTGCTAAAAACAAAGCCACCCTGCTAGTAAACTAAAGAACCTTCCTCTGCTTTTTCTTCTTCTTCTTCTTCTCTCTCTCTCTCTCTCTCTCTCTCTCTCTCTCTCTCTATAAATAGAGTTTCCCACATAACCAATCTCTCATCAACACAAAATCTCTTGTCACTCATAACCACTGCAAAAAATATTCGCTCACATTCCTATAAAACTCTCTTCCTTTCAATTCCAACCACAAAAGCATCAATGGCTTCTTCTTCTTCTTCTTCTAGCTCAGTATTGTTTATGATATTTGCAATTGTATTGGCTGTTGTATCAGCTAGTAATTTCAATCAAGACTTCACCATCACATGGGGTGATGGCAGGGCTAAGATCCTCAACAATTCCCAACTTCTTACCCTTTCGCTCGACAAAGCCTCTGGCTCAGGCTTCCAATCCAACAATGAATATCTCTTTGGAAAGATTGATATGCAACTCAAACTTGTCTCTGGAAACTCTGCTGGCACTGTCACTGCCTACTATGTATGTTCTTCTTGTTCTTCCTACCTAATATTTACATCAATCAATGTTTTCCTAGATATATTATTAATATGCAAATATGATTCTTGTATTGCAGTTATCATCGCAAGGATCAACCCATGATGAAATTGACTTCGAGTTCTTGGGGAATTTGAGTGGTGAACCTTACGTTCTTCACACCAATGTGTTTAGCCAAGGCAAAGGCAACAGAGAGCAACAATTCTACCTATGGTTCGACCCCATTGCTGATTTCCACACCTACTCCATCCTCTGGAATCCCCAACGCATCATGTAAGCAACCAACAAACAATGAAAATTGACATTGCTCTCAATTTTCCACTCAAAATTCTGTATTGATTGAATAATTTTTTGTCTCCATTTCAGTTTCTCAGTAGATGGAACACCCATTAGAGAGTTCAAGAATGCAGAGTCAATGGGTGTTCCATACCCAAAGAACCAACCCATGAGAATATACTCCAGTCTCTGGAATGCTGATGATTGGGCAACAAGAGGTGGACTTGTCAAGACTGACTGGACAAAAGCTCCATTCACTGCTTCATACAGAAATTTCAATGCCAATGCTTGCATTTGGTCTTCTGGATCATCATCATGTAGTTCAAGTTCTTCTTCATCTTCTAAAAACAATGCATGGCTCTCAGAACAGTTGGACTCCACAAACCAAGGAAGATTGAAATGGGTACAGAAGAACTACATGATATACAATTATTGTTGCACTGATTTTTCCAAAGAGATTTCCACAAGGATTTCCTCCACGAATGTAGCATGGTCCAGAATATTTAAACGCAAACTGATCTATCACTATTAGAAAAATAGCTTATCAAATACTACTATTGGAAAATAATTTAAAATTATGTAAAACGGTTTTTTGTGGGGTCAAAATCAAAATTGAAATTAGAATCGATATGTTAGGTTTTATTTCTGGGCAAACCCGTTTGACAAAACTCCTAATTGAGTTGTAATTTATTCGGCATTTTTATTTCAGTTGAGACTTTGAGTGTCTTAGACGCGAATCCAACCCGAATCAAGCCTTTTTCAGAGAAGTTTTTGATTGAATTAAAGCTTCAAGATTCCACTTCGCTGATTATGACGGGCGATCGAGCTGCCCGGTACATGCTTCGCGGGGTCCAGAGTGCAGCGCCCCTTGAGCGGCCGTCTCAGGGGCAGTCGCCACGGATCTGAGGCGTCGATGGGGCAGCGCCCCCGACAGCAAAATGCAAAAATGCATTCAAAGTTGCCTGTTCGATCAGATTTTTATTTCTCCAGTCTTTTCCAGTTTTGGCGCCTGTCCGCTCGAGCGGGGGATAACGGTGCGCGTCGAGCGTGGATGTGGAAGACTCTCAGCATCTCTGCAGTCGCCTGAAAAAATACTGGATGTGTGATTCACGCTCGACGGCAAAACCGTACGCTCGAGCGTGGAGCCTGCTATTGATAATCACCGAATGTGAAGTCTCCGCTCGAGCGAGAAAAGGCGCTTCGCAGACGTAGCCGCGGATCCCAGATTTCCAGATTTGATTAAAGAGTGGTGTTCTTCTGAAATTAGGATGCTCTGTTTCTATAAATTAGATTGGTTTTTACCCAACACTAGAGGGACGTTTCTTCCTAGATCTTATTTTTGGATTTATAGGTGCTATATCTGGAGAGACTTTGCCTAGGTTTTTCTTGATGTTTTTATTGAGTAATTCAACTCATGTTCTAAAGAGAGTTACAGATCAAAGCGTTGTTCTTTGTTATCACAACAAAGAGAGTGTTGTTTCCTTCAGTTGTATTTCTGATAGAATTCGAGCCTGAAGCTTGGTGGAATCCAGAGTGGCTCAATCAGAAAGACAATTCCGTCGCGTGAATGTGGGTTGCGAAGAGCCACATAGAGATGGTTCA